ACACGAATATTCCAGGTGTACGTCACGTGTTGTGTGCGGCTTGAATACTCTAGGATTCTATTGCGTCACAGTCACATATTCGAGTCTAGAATACTCTAGAATATTTTGGCTTTCCCGCAGTGACTATTCGTTACACATTACTGATTTTATTGAGAATGATATACACAAAGAGATATAAAACTGACAAGCTTACTGCTTGAAAAATTACTACTTTACCATAGGTTTGAATTTTTTTTATTTTTATAACCGATCATCCCCACAAGCAACGATTCAAGTCTACTAAATAAGGTTGACCATTAGCCCCCCACCCCACACTCCGAAAAAAACTCTAGTCAGCACAGGTGTGGTATTTTGCAATACCACCCCCCGGGGTGAAATAGGCCTGTCCAATATAATTGCAAAGATGGACAAGCTTCCAGGACTGTGGAGCCTCTTTAACACGGACACCAAGGAAGCAGAGAAGTGTCTATATTATGGACTGGGAATGAGAATTCTGGCTTCTCTGGGACCGAGTGAACCATCCGTATTATGAAGGTGTCCGCATCATGGAGGTGATTGTAAGGAAAGTTTCCAATTTATGTATTTCAGTGATTTTCCTCGTGCTAATGAAAAAAACTTCAACTGAAAAACTGAGAGTTAAATTTGTTTTGTTCTGCTACAGTGTGGTGCAGAAGTATTGCAATCGATTTCAACAAAGTTCACGAATCAGTCGGGGCTTTTCGGCGAAACAGGATGACATTTCGTTTCGAAGAAAAACTCGGAAGCCCTTTGTTTCTGCTGATGCCATATTTTGCGAAATGCTGCTTGGCTTAGGGATACTTCTGCAACGAAAGTTCTCGATACTGTTCGAAATTCACTTCAAGTCGTCGAAAATTCGTTGGACAGTTCGAACAACAATGCGTTGCTAACGAAACTTCGCTTGGTGTTATGTTCGTGTTATGAGTGACTGTAATATACATTTACTTCTCTACACCATGACAACTACTTTACATCAATGAGCAACAGCGAGAGCTTTTGTTAGGCTGGTAAAGCATCAAAGGCCGTTCAGTGTTTTTTAGAGATGATTCTTGACGTATTTCCAAGATAGAAGCTATTTCTTCATCCTTGTTCATAACCTCTGCTCCTTCCTGTAAAATCGTCAGACATTTTGAACGAAAAGGGCTCTCCTTCGGCAAGAGGTTAAAATTTCCTTTCAGCACCTTACGCTTGGTTCCAGTCTGTTCAAACAGAAAGCATCCAACGCTTACGACATCCTCTCCATGGTCGGCCTTCGGTTCAATGNGTGCAAAAAATTACATACCCCATTTCATTACATCTTTGTACCAAGCAATGCGAACAGCAAAGGCAAGGACTAATATCAAAGACAAAACATTGTAAAACAGTGGATTGCTCGTTCTCTCGTTACCGTCGATCGGTTGGTATGACGGAACAGCTGTCGTTCGGTCGCTCAATCAGAAAGTCGGTTGCAGAACATTTTTTCTGTCATTCTATTGTTAGGTCAGTCGGTCGGTAGGTAAAAAGTCGCACTTCGTGCAAACTCTGGAGTGCTTTAAGATTGATTAGTCCTATTAGGTCCTTTACAACAATGCACAAAAAGGGCAGCGCCTCCTTATTTCGTTTACAATTCGAAACAGCATACCCTCTTCATTTTCGTTCTTAGTCTCTGGTTCCTCTCCGCGTTTCAACCGCTTGTTCGTTTTAACTTCCACTCTGACATCTCCTCCTTTTTGCTTGCGGGACTTTCTTGGCTTCTCACTGCCCATCACGGGACGCTTGTTCTTCATGTTCCTTCCAGTGTGTATTTCTTTCAGAGACTTCAGTTCTTCATTCTGGTTTAGACACTCTGCTTCTTTCTCTAAAACGCTCAGACATTTTGAACGAAAGGGGCTTTCATTTGGCAGCAGGTGGAAGTTTCCTTGCAGCACCTCCAACTTCTGGTTGGTTCCCTTCACAAATTCGAACAGAAAGCATCCGACGCTAACAGCTTCGCATTCATAGCTTTGAGTCTCAATGTTGGCAATAAACAAGAGAAAGCGGCTCAAGCCATATGTAGGCATGTTTGTCCATACTGTTCGTTCATCTCCGCCACTTGGTCGTTTAAGACCGATTCTGTGATGGGAATGCCACTCGCCAATGTGACAAACACCTTCCTTGCTGGTCAGATTGGAGCCGACCTTCTCCAAGTACGCTACGTCTTGGTAGAACGAGTGAGCCGCTCGCCGACAGTTTCTGCCTGGACCCAAGACAAGCTGGATCACTGCGCTGTGATCGTCGGACCACAGACCGAACAAATCTCCTCCCGTCTCCAGGCTTTGATGCTTCAAAACCCAGGCACATATTTGCTTGTACTCGTTGGCATAAATAGCCACTGTAAATTCCCTTTTTGTCGTCATAGATCACAGCTAAGGCCAACGTTTTACTTTACACAAGTCTTTGCAAATTGTTACCCTGAAATGATGCAGACTCTATGTGATTTTCCCTTTCGCGGAAAAATGAAAACAAGGTAAAGCTTTTGACCAATAATTTAAAGGCTTTTTGTATTTAGCCTGGCGTGACGCGAAGACAACTGATTTCTTGGAAATCGGGTAAGTTAATTCGTGTCAAAACACCACAGATGGTTGAACATTTGAATTTGAAAAGTATTTATCAATTATACATATCTAAGTGAAAGAAGTGTAGAAATATTTTTTAAAAACGCCAAATATATATGTTCTTTCATTCGATTCATTCGATGAACTTTAAGGAATAGCAATATCATGCGCAACTCATGATCAGACATCTGTATTTTTATAAACGCAACCGTATGATAATTATAGTATCTAAGATTAGGAATGAATGCTTCCTTTGTTGATGCATAAATTCCTAGAAAGTCCACATTGTTTACTCTCAACCGTGACAAGCATGAGTTCTAGTCAGGTCAACAGCGTGGACATGACATATCTCATGATTCTGAGAAAAACAGGATGTTGTTTGCATGCCAATCAAGCCATGGCTGTCATAAAGCTGGAACCCCCCGTGCTCGTTTTCCTCCTGCTTGAAAATTTTTCTTTAGATTATGAGCGGACCATGGGCAGCGGAGAATTGTGAAGATGAATCATTCTTATTGAATATAGTCCCATTGCAGTTGGTTGTGTCACAGCAGTCATAATTCTTGGCTTGCTCTGTCACGCAATAAAAGTACTTTAATTAACCACCGAATTCTTGGTTTTCACCAGTCATGTGATCAAAACTAAAAATCGTAATCATTCAATAAATAAATTCAAGAATCTAGGATATGATAGATGATTGCTATATAAACAACCTCGCCAAGAATCAGGTTTCTGCTGTTGTTCATTCGCCC